AATCTCGCCCTGAGATCAGCTGGAGGCCGGCAGTGTCCGTGTCCCTCCGGCTTCTGTCCTCTGTGGATCTGCTCGGTCGGTGGCTGTAGTTCTTCCCAGTGAACCAAGAGGCCTGGGCAGGGGACAGAGCCCTGTGGTACACCACGGAGACTGCCTTCTAGCGTGACCGGCTGTCCTCTGGCCATGGCCCTCTGTCTGCCCTCCCTGTGGTTTGCTGGCGTCTGCCTGTCCCTCCCTCTCTCTCCTTGTCATTGTCCCTTTACCCTCTCTCCTCTTCCCTCTTTTCCTTCTCTTATTCTTCTGATTCCCTTGCCCACTCCCCCCCGCCCGCTCCCCCTTCTTTTTCAACTTCTCTTTTATGCCAGTGATCAAGGTCACAGTCCCAGAGGCTTTTCATCTGTCCACAGAGGGGTCCTTGGCTGTGCTCTGGGCCAACGTGAGGGTGATGCCCAGAGCTTTGTGGTTGGGGCATCCAGGATTCACCCTGTCTTCCCTGCCCCAGACAGCTCTTGAGCTAGGACAAACTGATCAGAATTTGCCTGTTTGGGAAGATCCCTTTATTGGCCTCTTCATCTCCACTGATGGTCAGGGGTCCTGAGCCCTCTTAACCTGGAAGTCCTTCCTTAGGTCTACCCCACATCCTGCATGCTGCAGGTCCCTGCAGTATAAATGGCTCTCTTGTCTTTAGCCCTTCCTGTGATTGGGCCCCTGACTCTTCCAGTCTCAACACCGGCCCCAAGTCATTTCCTCTTTCCCTTTTGCTCAGCCCCTCGGTCATGGGTCTGTGGCTCCTGTTCTTCTTCCCACTTTCCTCCAAGTCCTCTAGAGTCACAGACGGCCGTCCTCATCTGTAAGGCTGGGCTAGAGGCCTGGGCAGGTCCTTGGTCTAGGGCCCTCTTCACAAGGCCTCTCGGGGGGGACTGGGGCCTCTTGCCTTCTCCCTCCGCTGCTTCCGGTGGCTGGATGGAGTGCTTGCCAGTGACAGGAATCTCTTTACAGCCTCATGTCTTTACAAGTCTAATGTGGCCCGTGGTGGGGCCACTCAGGGGTTGGTGGGGGATAGGAAGAAGCCAGTTGGAGTTCATCCCATGCCCAGAGGAAGACTCCTGAGCAGTGGCCAGACTCTGCCATGAAGGAGGAGCACCATCCCCTTCGTAGGCAAAAAAGTTCTTAGGGCACATGTTTGGTGAGGATGGGGAGACGAGGGTGGCTCTGGGGCATGCTGGGGTTGGAGCTGGGGAAGCCATCTTCCTAGCTTGGATGGCATGACAGCTGTGACACCAGAATAGTCCCAGGGTGACTATTCTTCCCATTTCCTGAGCCCTTGAGGCCAGTGACAGGAGCCAGGTCCCAGCCCGAGGCCACGGCTGCTTCATTCCTTGTCCTCAACAGTGGTCCCCAAGATGAGGACTCTGCTCGGTCCCTTTTTTTGGAGGTAGCAGCTCTCTGGGTATGGTGAGCAAAGGATAGAGATGGAGCCCTCTCAGTATTCAGAGATGCTTCTAGAATGACTCCTGGCCTCAAGGCCCCCTGACTGTCGGGCCTCCCCATCCATCTCTGGGTGTCGTTCTGCCCAGCTCAGCACCCCTGTCTCTTGTCAACCCCTCTCTGCAGAAAACCCGTGAACATGACCAAAGCCACCGTCAATTACCGCCAGGAGAAGACCCACATGATGAGTGCCGTGGACCGGAGCTTCACGGACCAGAGCACCTTGCAGGAGGATGAGCGACTGGGCCTCTCCTTCATGGACGCCCACGGCTACAGCCCCCGGGGTGAGTGCCTGGCCCTCCCGCCCCTTCCTCGTGGCTCTGGGCTCCACACTTGAACTAGTAGGACTGGGCCCCTCTGATGAGTTCTGTAACACCTTGAACCCAAACTGAAGCATCTGTTGTTCTCCTGTGGGGTACCGGTGCAGGTGCTGGCAAAGCAGAGAAGGCACAGATATTGCTTTTGCCCCGGGAGAGCTTTAGGAAGATGGAGGACTTAGACACAGGCTCATCTGGAAGGAATGCGAGGTCACATGTTGATTGGGGGAAGTGCTCTGGGGGCTCAGTGTGATCAGAGGGGACCAGAGCAGTCTCACGGCCATTGAGCACCTGCTGTGCGACAGACAGGGGATGAGTGGCTAAGAAGGATTGCTCTGGAGTCCGACAGACCTCCATTTGCATCTCACATCCCCTAGCTGTGTGATCTGGGGAAAGTCACTTAATCTCTCTGGATGTCTGCTTCCTCATGTACAGAGTGGAGCTAAAGATCATCTTTGCTGGTAGACCTGCTGGAAGACTAAGTTAGCTGTTATGTGTACATCATTTAGTGCTGTGCCCGGCTTGCAGGAAGAATAGGGTGAATTAGCCACACGTGCTAGGAGCCTGTCATAAATCATCTCCTCACACGTCTGTTTCTTCTAGTTAGTGTTGATTTGTACCAATGAAAATACGCAATGTTTGTGAAAGTCATGCAGTGATAATACCACAAACACTGGTGAACCACACTGGTGTATTAGAACATCATCTGGGGGACGCCCGGGGAGCTCTGTCTGTGAAGCATCCGACTTCGGCTCCGGTCATAATCTCACGGTTCTGGGTTCGAGCCCTGCATCGGGCTCTGTGCTGCCAGCTCAGAGCCTGGAGCCTGCTTCAGATTCCATGTCTCCCTCTCTCTCTGCCCCTCCCTGGCTTGCACTCTGTCTCTCTTGCAAAAATAAGTAAACGTTAAAGCAAATAATAATAATAAAAAAAGAACATCGTCTGGGTGTCCCTCCCTGAGTATATGCCCTACATCCCTCTTAGACATAAACGTCCCCCTGAAATTTGTGTTTATAATTTCCTTACCTTTTGGGGAGCAGTTTTTCCATGTGGACACACATCCCCAAAACAGTGCATTGTGTAACTTCGCTTGTTTCTGAGCTTTATAAAAAATGCAATCACACTGTGTTTCGACTCAACATTGTGTTTCTAATGTCTACCCAGGTGGATATTTCGCTGTCATTTCTTTGATTTTCTCTGATGTATAGTTTTCCATTGTATGAACGTATCGCAATTCATTTCTCCATTCTGCCATGCAGCCACATCTGATTTGCTCCCCGTTTTCTTGTTATTACAAACGAGGCTGCTCTGAATGTGCTTAAATGGGTCTCCAGATGCACCTGCGCAGGAGATTCGAGAAGCAGAGCAGCCGGCTCACAGAGCGTGTGCTTGCTGCTCTCTAGAAGGCACTGCCGACTTGTGTCCCGGAGTGGCTTTGCCCGTGCTCACGCCCGGCAGCAGCGAGTGAGAAATTCTGCTGCTCTCCGGCAAGCTCAGAGTTTGCCAGGCTTCTTCACTTTTGCCAAACTGGTTTGTATAAAATGGGAATTCTCTATAGTCTCAATTTGCATTTCTCTGATTACTAATGAGGTTGAGCATAGTTTCAAATCATTATTGGCCATTCAGCTTTCTTCTTCTATGAAATGCCTGTTCATGCCTTTTACCTAATTTTCTATTAGGTTTTCTGTTGCTTTCTTAGTGGTTTTTAGGAGTTCTTTACATATTTAGGATGATAATCACTTTTCACTTATGAATTGCAAATACCTTCTCCCAATTGGCGGCTCATCTTCTCAGGTTATTTATAGTGTCTGTGGAGGAACAAGTTTTTATTTTAACTTAGTCAAGTTCATCAATCTTTCCCTTTCTGATTTCGACTTTTTGTGTTTTCTTCAAGAGTTCCTCCCTCGCAGGGTCATAAAGTATTTTTTTCTAAGACCCTTTTTATATTTTGTGCTGAACATTTAAATCTTTACCCCTCTGTGATTAATTTTTGTGTGTGCTATGAATTAAGGATTTTCTTTTTTTTTTAAGGGCTACATTTTAGTTAGTTTTGGGTGTTTTTTTTTTTTTTTTTTTTTGAGAGAGTGAAAGCCAGGGAGGGCCAGAGATATGGGGGGACAGAGGATCTGCAGTGGGCTCCTCACTGACAACAGCAAGCCCAATGTCGGGGTCAAACTCAGGAGCCACGAGATCATGACCTGAGCCGAGGTTGGACGCTCGGCCGACTGAGCCACCCAGGCACCCCTGATCCCTTATATTTTTTATTTTCCATTGCAAATGGTACATTGTGTGGGTGTGTGTGGCAAAATCCACATAACATAGAATTTACCACCTTGACCATTCTCCAGTGTGCAGTTTGCTGATATTAAATACATTCATAATGTTGGGAACCATCACGATCACCCAACACTACAGCTCTGTTCATCTCATAAAACTGAAACTCTGTTCCCATGAAGCATTAACTCCCCATTCCTGCCTCTTCCCAGTCCCTGGCAACCCCCATTCTATTTGGTGTTTCTGTGAATTTGCTCTAATTATCTCATAGATGTGGAGTCACACGGCATCTGTCTTTTTATGCCTGATCCGTGTCACTTAGCTTGTTTTTCAAGCTTCTTTCATCTTCTAGCATCTTTCAGAATTTCCCCCTTTTTAGGGTTGAGTAATATTCCACGGCATCCGTAGTGTACGAGGGCTCCAGTTTCTCCACATCCTTGTAACACTTGTTATTTTCTGTGTTTTTCTTGCCAGCAGCCATTCTAGTGGGTGTGAGGTCTTATGTCATTGTAGTTCTGATCTGCAGTTGCCTAATGATGCACCGTGTCATGTTGGGCATGTGCCATTTGCGTATCTTCTTTGGAGAAATATCTATTCAGGCAACTTTGCCCATTTTTGAATTGGGTTGTTCGGTTTTTTTTGTCCTAGAGTTTTAGGAGTTCTCTCTGTATGTTAGATTTTAAGCCCTTATCAGATATATGATTTGCAAATGTTTTCTCCTATCCTGTGGCTTGCCTTTTTACTCTGTGGATTGTGTCTTTAAAGGCACAAATTTTTAAAAATTTTCATGAGGTCCAATTTGCCTATTTTTTGTTTCTTGTTGCCTGTGCTTTTGGTGTCATAGCCAAGAAATTATTGCCAAATCCAGTGTTATGAAGCTTTTGCCCATACTTTCTTCTTTATTTAAAAAATTTTTTTTAAATATTTTTGTTTATTTTTGAGACAGAAAGCACAAGCTGGGGAGGGGCAGAGAGAGAGGGAGACAGGAACCTCAGCGGGCTCCATGCTGACAGCAGAGAGCCTGATTCAGGGCTTGAACTCATGAGCCATGAGATCATGACCTGAGCTGAAGTCAGATGCTTCGCCGACTGAGCCACCCAGGCACCCCAACCCTGTGTTTTCTTCTAAGAGTTTTATAGTTTTACCTCTTACATTGAGGTCTTTGATTCATTTTGAGTTGATTTTTGTATCTGGTGTGAGGTAGGGATCCAACTTCATTCTTTTGCATGTGGATGTCCAGTCTTCCCCAGCACAAATAGTACACTTTTAAAATATCACATTTCTCATAGTTGTTCCTATAGAGAAATATAGTTGATTTTTTATGTGTATATATCGATCTTATATCCATACTCCCTGATAACCTTATTTATTAATTCTCATTTATCTATAGAATCTTTCGGGTTTTCTGAGTATGTTCAAAGGATCTGTAAATACTGCCAGTTCTGTTCCTTGTTTCATTTCTCCTTTTTTTTTCCCCCTTGTCTTTCTGTGTGGCACTGGCTGGGGCCTCCAGCACTGTGTCGAATGGAAGTGGTTATAGCACGAATCCTTGTCTTGTTTTCCTGATTTCAAAAGGAATGCTTCTAACACGAAACAATGAGAATGAAGTTTGCTACAGTTTTTGGTAGAAATGTTTTATCAGATTAACAAAATGCTCTTCAGTTTCTGGTTTGCTAGCAGGTTTTATTTAAATGGGCATTAAACTTACCAAATGCTTTTTCTGTACTTACTGTCCTATGTATATTTTTTTATTTTGTTAATGAGGTGTGTGGTATTTTTCGATTTTATAAAGTTTAAATAACTTTCCATGCCTGGGATAAATTCAGCTTGGTCATGATGCATTGCATTTTTTACGCCTTGTTGGATTCAGTATAGTTATAATATCGTTCAAGATTTCAAAGCTGTATTCCAGAGTGGGATTGGCCCGTGATTTTTGTTTTTTGTGCTATCCTTGTCTGGTTTTTGGTATCGAGATTCTGTTTGTCTTGTAAAATGCACTGAGGTCTCTTCTCTTTTTTCCTTGTTATGAAAGATTGGAATAATTGACACCTCGAAAGCTTAGTGGAATTCATCTATAACACAATCCTTTTCTGTTGTTTTCTTTACAGAAATATTTTTTTTTTAATTTTTTTTTCAACGTTTATTTATTTTTGGGACAGAGAGAGACAGAGCATGAACGGGGGAGGGGCAGAGAGAGAGGGAGACACAGAATCGGAAACTGGCTCCAGGCTCTGAGCCATCAGCCCAGAGCCTGACGCGGGGCTCGAACTCCCGGACCGCGAGATCGTGACCTGGCTGAAGTCGGACGCTTAACCGACTGCGCCACCCAGGTGCCCCATTCTTTACAGAAATATTTAGTTAATTTATTTATTGAGAGACCGTGCATGTGTGCAAGAGGGACGGGGAGAGGGGGAGAGAATCCCAAGCAGGTTCCATACCAAGTGCAGAGCCTGATGTGAGGCTTGATCTCATGAATTGTGAGATCATGACCTGAGCCCAAATCAAGAGTTGGACACTTAACTGACTGAGCCACCCAGGTGCCCCCTTTATGGAAAAATTTTAAACTTTTAGTTCTGTTTAAAGGAGCAAAGGACTGTTGAAACCTTCTATTTTTTCCCAAGCCACTTGTAGTAAGTCTTATTTGTCCAGGAATTTGTCCACTTCATTTAAGTCTTCAAATTCACTGACATGCACTTATTTTTCGAGTTCTCTTTGTGATCTCCCTCATTAAATTTTCACCCCAGCCCTGCATGGTAGCTATTATGACTCATCTTACAAATGAGGAAACAGAGACGCTCAGAGAGGGGACTTCACTTGTCAAACAGCCAGAAAGTGGCAGAGCCAGGATTTATTTATTATTATTATGTTTAAAATTTATTTAGTTTTTAATGTTTATTCATTTTTGAGACAGAGCACGTGCTGGGGAGGGGCAAAGAGAGAGTGAGCAGGCTTCACGCTGTCAGGGCAGAGTCTGATGCAGGGCTCAAACCCATGAACCACGAGATCATGACCCGAGCCGAAACCAAGAGTCAGATGCTCAACCGACTGAGCCACCCAGGCGCCTCCAGAGCCAAGATTTAAATGCAGGTCTTTCTGAGTTGCAAAGAGCTGTTTCTACTATCTTGTGCTAGGCCCTGAAGCACAGGCAGGATTTGGACAGCAGAGATAGGAAAGGAAGGGCATAGGGTGAGGGAACAGCATGTGCAGATGCGTGGAGGTGAGCATGTGAGGAAACCATGGAGAGGTGTGAGTGGGTGGGGAAACTCAAGTGGGCATCGTGGAGAGTGGGAGGTGGGGGCGGTGTGGGCACATGCCTTGCTGCTGAATCTTGTTGACAGATCCAGAGACAGCGTGGGCTCTGCTCCCCCACCAGCTCGCTGACAGCTGGGGAGACGTGGCCTAGGGAAGTCGGGCCCAGGCTCATTGCCATGTGGACACAGTGGGAACGATTAGTGCCGCCAGAGTTTTGAAAAGATGTACCTTCGGGCAGCGGTGGTCAGAGTTTGGGCTGGGGCTGGACGAGATGTGGCTGACGGAGAGAGGGGGAGTGGGCCCCGGGGCACATCGTAGGGCAGGGAGAAGGCGTGAAGGCCAGGTGTCTTCGGGAGGCGGGGGCCATGTGTCAACTCCTTTTGTCTCTCTCCACGCCCCGCCCTGGTCCAGCCTCCACCTCCTTCTTGGCTTTCCAAACAGAGGAGGCCAGAGTTTTGTGGTGTGGAACACAAAGCTGCGATGATTTTGATGCCTGCTTAGTCTGCGAACTTTACCATGGGGACCTCTCACGCTGAGTCAGTGGTGGCAGGCTGGCTGTGAAGCAGCCGGCTGGGGTCCTACAGTGGAGAAGGACCAAGGAAGGAAGGCCCCCGCTTGGCCAGCCAGCTGCCCTGGCTTTCTGGGACTAATTATGTCAACAGCCCCAACTACAGGTGCTCACTCTGTGCCAGGCACCGGACTGGGTGCTTTATATGCATTATCTTGCTTAATATTTATCTAATCGTATTGGAGAGTAACAGTTTTTGTCTTCATTTGACGTGTGACGAGAGAAATTGAGGGAGAGGAAGTACCATCACCAAGGTGACGTGCGGAGATGGGATTTGATCTCAGGCCCATTTGGCTCCAGAGCCTGTCTCTTAATCAGCACGTTACACTGTATCCCCTGAGGATGTTTCATGAAACAAACAAACAAAAAGCTCTCTGTGGTGAAACATTGCTATTTCTGCTCATCTCTTGGAGATTTTTTTTTTTTTAACATTTATGTATTTTTGACAGAGAGAGAGAGAGACAGAGCATGAGCGGGGGAGGGGCAGAGAGAGAGGGAGATACAGAATCGGAAGCAGGCTCCAGGCTCTAAGCTGTCAGCGCAGAGCCTGATGCGGGGCTTGAACTCATGGACCACGAGATCACGACCTGAGCCAAAGTCGGATGCTCAACAGACTGAGCCACCCAGGCACCCCATCTCTTGGAGATTTAAAATGCACACTAATATGTAGAGGCCCTGAGAGGTCTTACAGAGAAAAAGACATATTTACTTTTGTTTCAACTGGAATTTCATAGATTCCTTTAATTTTTTTTTAATGTTCATTTATTTTTGAGAGAGAGAGAGACAGAGACAGAGCACAAGCAGAGGGAGGACAGATAGAGGAGACACAGGATCCGAAGCAGGCTCCATGCTCTGAGCCATCAGCACAGAGCCCGATGTAGTGCTTGAACCCACGAGCTGCGAGATCATGACCTGAGCCAAAGTCAGAGGCTTAACCCACTGAGCCATCCAGGCGCCCCTCATGGAGTCTTTTATTTTTTTTATTTATTTATTTTTTTCAACGTTTATTTATTTTGGGGACAGAGAGAGAGCATGAATGGGGGAGGGGCAGAGAGAGAGGGAGACAGAATCGGAAACAGGCTCCAGGCTCTGAGCCATCAGCCCAGAGCCTGACGCGGGGCTCGAACTCACGGACCGCGAGATCGTGACCTGGCTGAAGTCGGACGCTTAACCGACTGCGCCACCCAGGCGCCCCCATGGAGTCTTTTAAAACAGAGAACCCCTCGTCACCTTTCTTCTCTTCTTATTCTTCTTTTTAAATGTTTATTTATTTATTTTGAGAGAGAACGCGTGCACGTGTACATGTGAGTGGGGGAGGAGCAGAGAGAGAGAGAGAGAGAGGGAGAGAGAGAATCCCAAGCAGGCTCCACACTGTCAGCGCAGAGCCCAATGCGGGGCTGGGTCCCATGAGATTATGACCTGAGTTGAAATCAAGAGTTGGACCCTTTACCGACTGAGCCACCCAGGCAGCCCCACCCCCTCGTCTGCTTCTTTTTAATGGAGTAACGCTTAGTCATCTGCCATGGTCAGTATTTTCTGGAATGCACTTTAGCAAGCACTGTGTTAGGCAAGTCTCTCTTCTTTGGACCTCAGTTTCTCCATCTGAAGAATTAAGGACTTGGGGTATCTGACCACAGTGGTGTCACTGGCACATGACTTGCCCTCCCGCTGTAAGTAACTAGAAAATCTGGATAAAATGTGAAGTGATTGTTTTCAGACCTTGGGTGGCAGGCAGCTCAGGACTGATTCCCAAGAGAAGAGAAATAAATGAGGTGGGCCATGCCATCACATTGCCTATCTGCCTGGAGGCAGTTTTCAAACGGAGGCACAGGACTGAGGGACCCAAGCAGGGCAGGGCAGTCCCCCTGATTCGAAGAGAAGGGACTTGGAGTTTGGGGGAGGTGAGCAGCACAGGAGTCTGTCCTGGTGTCATGCCTTCAATCATGAGTCAATCATGAGTAGGAAGCAGATGCCCGGCACTGAAGGTTCCCTAGGAAGGCTCTTGTTGGCTAAGATCTGAAGGATGGATGTGAGTTCACCAGGCAGGAACAGGAGGGGAAGGGTGTTGGAGGTGGTGACAAGGGAGGGTGCTGGCATCTAGGCCCTCCTGGGAGTTCCTCACCTGCCCCGTCCAGCTCAGACCTGGGCAGAGAACAGCCATGAGCAACACGGAGGGCTGGCCTTGACTGAGCCCCTGCATGGTACCCAGGACAAGTGGAGGGAAATGAGTGGTGAGTGTGTGAGAGGGAGTGTCCAGAGTGGGGCACTTTTCTCAGTGCCACAACCTGATCTGGGGGACCATGGTGGGATGTCCTTGGGGAGGCTGACTGGGAGAGCAGGGAGTCGGTGGGCCTGGGGGGAGGGGATAGTTTTCCCTGGGGGTGTGTGTGTGTGTCGCTGTGAACCCCTCGACCTGTTCCCGGATTGGCTGAGGCCGCTGCACAGGCTGACAATGGAAATGCTTGCGCAGGAGAAATGCTTCTATTCAGGTGCCTCGCATTAATCTATGGAGGGGGTGGCA